GCATTGTTAAGGAATTCGCAGAGTAACTCTTGAGTAACAAGGGTGTCCACATGAAAGCGATTGAGAGAAGTTACGCATAAACACAGCCAACACAGAGATACACTGAGTTGTGTTTACTTTCAGGAAATAGTAAGGCACAGTCCAATAAACAGTCCAGGTCATACACATATAAAGCAGGAGATAGCAAAACGACAGTCCAGGGATAATCCAATAACAAAGTCTTCTTACCAGTCGTCATAGTCATTCACAATAAACAGTTCTTTTGGATTTGCAAACAGTAGCATACAGAGATATTAGAGACCAAGAACAGCAAAGAGAAACAAACCATGTTTCTAGTTCCCTCTTAAGGACATTGGCTACAGAGCTAACCAATCAGGACACAGTATGATGCAATACAGCAGTCTTAAAACTATATCAAGGGTTTATATATTGCCAACCCAACAAGGTAGGTAATAATCATTTCCTAACACATATACAGTAAGTTTTCTGATATTCTTATACATGTCCTGAAATTATGTTACTTAAAATCATTTCTAGTTAGCAAACTCCCCCATCTCTTTTAACATTCTAAAGATATTAACAATTTGTTTACATAGATAAGAAAACATTTTGTATTTGAAATTTGTCTCAATTCTGTTCCCAATAATTTTACAAGCAAATTTTATGTGGATGAAACAGAAACTGTTCTTATCATTTCATGCTCTTTCTTCCCTGGATGCTGTATTTATATAAAAGACACTGGGTGTAGGTTGGAAACTTCTGTTTGTACATCTATGATTAACACAATATTGGTTGTAGCTGCAATGCTCAACTTCTGATGGCAAGAAAAAATGCCAGGATGATTGCCCCTTTCTTAGAATGCCCTGTCTTTCTCCGTGGCCTGTGCCCCTCCTGAGCAGCCACATTCTGAAAACCACTGATTTAATTAGCTTAGCTACAGATTTCATTTTTCATGAAAATTACTGTGTATAGCGGTATAAACATTTAATCTTGTTTTGAAACATAGGAGCTTTTAATCATAATCCACAAGTTAATTATAATTCTAAAGGAACTTCTGATGATACACAAGTCAAAAGTGTACAAGCAGAAGTTTACTTTCTCTGAAGTGGAAGAAGAGTGGCTATGGAGCAATACATGATATGGCAAGGCCTATTGGTGTATTGGAAGATGCCTGAGCTGGAACCAGTCTTCTGTCAGCATTGTAAGCAATATAAAGTTGTTTTTTAAAAAATGATCAAAATATAAAATGCTTGCATAATAGAAAATATGTATAACGTACAAAAAAATACAAGAAGGAGAGAAGAGGGCAGTGGATCAGTAGATTTCATTTATATCTTGAATTTATGATGTTTGTTCATGCACAATATTAAATCATAATATAATTTGTTTAATTTTAAGTTAATACTAAGATACCCATTAGGTCTTAGATTTCATGCAAACCAGACTTCTGTGGCTTGTTTAGAAATTATTGTTTAAAAACAGTCATTGGCAACCTCAGTTAACTTTGTTTTATCCTATTTGGGTTCCAGCAGATTCCAAATCAGATTTTGAAATGCAAACAAAATGTAGAGCAAACCTTTGGAGTAGTACACAGATGTTCATAAATCAGACAAAATAATGTTTTGTCATTGTTCCCAAATTTTTCAGTTCATGCTGTCCTTAATGTCACAAAGATATGACATTAATAATGATCATTGCAAAAGCCAGTTTTCCAAATGAACATCACAAAAATTTAAAACATCCCATGATGTTCTTGCTGCAGGACTCCAGGGTATGTGATACACAGTTTGGGTAATGTGGTCATACTCCACATTATGATATCAATTATGGTATCATTGACATTATTTGGATTTTTTTTTTAAAAAGCTTGATGTCATTATTAATACTGCTACATTTCTCTATTTGGGTTTTGTAACACTAGTGAATGCAGCAAAAGAATAAGTAAAATGTCAAATGTTTCAGAGGGCTTATATTAAAAAAAACATACCCATCAGTCATTTTGGTAGATAAGATTTAAATGGCTGCTAGCATAATAAGGGAAATGCATAACATTATTGTACAAGCCTGAAATACAAAATGTGTAGTCATAGCTATGGATCAGGAGGTGGAGGATGGAATCCAAAATACATAAGAGTATGTATTACCTGTAACAAGAGGTAAATAATTGTGTTTTCAGGATTGAAATGAACTTTTTTTTTTAAATTAAACTTTATTGTTTAAATAAATAATACGCGCAACTCCTCTGAAATGAACTTTTTATTTGCCCCTAAATGCTAAGTGTAATGTGGCACTACAGATTATGAGTTAGTCTACAGCTGCATCTTTGGACTGACTTTGTACTTCACAGATGAAATATCTGGAGTAATTTTTTGAATTCCTTTGTCCCTGATTCCACTTTTTTCTGGTAATTCTGTGTCTGATAAATAAGTAAATATCAATGTTCCTTTGGTTAAGATAATCTTTATTGTCATTTTTTACTGTGAGCAATTGGCTCACATTAAAAATGAAATTTTGTTGCCCACTCTCAAAAGAAAATATATATCTACCTATATAACACACATATACACATGATATATACATACATAACACTTGTATAAGGATTATTCTTTATATTATTCATGTTGTCTTGTATTCTTGTATGGTCTGCACCAGTAGAGGCTAAACCAATTTCATTGTATACATGATGTACAATGACAATAAAGGCTTTGAACTTTAACACACATATACACATGCTATATATTTATATATATATAAATATAAATATTACTCACCGTCCATTTTGAATACGAAGTAGAAAGAAGAAACTTGAGAGTTCACAAGATTGATGCTATGTGGAACAAAGCTCTGAATGGGTAAAAATAAAATAATTTATAGTTAATAAATTTGTCTGAAGAAGTTGAAACTTTCATATTTATATATGATATTGGAATTGGTCCTAATATGGTCCTAAAATTGTGGATTTTGAAAATTATTCAAACTTGTTGTATTTATATATATATATATATGTAAAATTTAGCAAAAATAAATGCTTTTTTTCCATTCATCCGTTTAAATGAAAACATCTATGATGACGGGTGGGCTGGCTGGCTGGCTGGCTGACTGACTGATTATGTGTCATCAAGTCAATCCTAACTCGTAGCAAGCACCTAGATAGAATTTCTCCATGACACTTCCTAACTTGTCTTTGGGGTTACTATTCAATCTATCAATCACTATTATTAAATTATATTAATAAACCATACCATATACTATATGATAATATCTGTATAATATTATATAGTATGGTATATTAGTATAATATAATAATATTGGTTTATTGTGTGTTATCAAAATAGTATTGATTCTTAGCAACCACATAGATTTTCTCCGTGACAGTCTGACCGTAAACTGGTCCTTCAGATCTTCCAGTAGTGCACCCACTACTGCAATAACTGAGTCCTACTTTGCTGCCTAGTTGTCATCTTGTTCTCTTTCCTTCCACCTTTCCCAGTATGTATTAGAACCTCCTCCATAGAGTTAGCTCTCTACATAACGTGTCTGAACTAGGACAATTTGAGCTTGGTTATTTGTATCTCAAGTGAGAATGCTGGCTTGATTTGTTTGGTGATCCATTCCTTTATTTTTTTGCCTGTCCATGGTTTGCTCTGTAGTCCTGTCCAACACCAAAGTTCACAAACATCAATATCAATATTATCCTGCTTTTTCAAAGTCCGGCTTTTCCTTCCATAGAGTATCACCGGGAATATCATTGCTTGCATTGTTCTGATCTTTGTAGGTATAGTAGACACATCATGGGATCTGAATATATTTTCCAAGGTTTTCATGGCTAATCTGTCAATGTAGTCTAGCAATATAATAATATAATATGGCCTATAATCTATTTTATAATTATCAGATCATATTTTGTTCTTAACTTAAGGGAATGAATCAGAGGAATCACGTTTAAGCATGGGAAACTGTGTAATCCAAAACCAAATCATATAATTGATTCATCAAAGCAACAACTAAAATCTTAGAAAATTTTCCCACTCCTCCTGGTTGGAGATAGCAGAGAATGGAGCTGAGATGGTATGGCAACATACTTTGCAAAGTTTAATAGTTGGATTATGACTAGGAAAATGTACTGCAAATCAATCCTCAGCCATGGAAGCTTATTGGGTATATTGGAATATTCACTCTTAAATCAGTCTACTTCATAAGAATATTGGTGTATGGAAAATTTTTAGAAGGAAGTGCTATTTACTCAGCCATGAAAAGCAAGAAGAACTATAGAATATAAAACCATATAAATAAGAAGAAAAAGTTGTGTTGGAAATGTTCAGTGCCTTGAGTTATTTGTAAAAATAATAAAGGCAGAAAACCAACAAACAAATCTGAGCTATATGATTTTTCCCAAAGAATATACTCTAGGATATTAATTACATTGGAAATATGTGTGATTCTATAATTGTACATGACTGCTCTTTTACTCTATCATTTTTATCGTATGTAATGGTGCTCAGAACTGAAAAACTGTGCCAGATTTTCAAGGGTCACTTAGACCAGTATTGGGCAACAATTACTTCCTCCAACATATTGTCACAAACTGTCATGGTAAAATGTTATAGGAATGCAGTTCATGCAGCACTGTGAAATCATTTCTTGTTGTCCAGTTAGCTAGGTGTTTTTATTACCAGCTGATTTGACTTTGGAAAACAGTATTTTCTACATAAGAATATCATGACATGCCTGCTAGCAGTAATTTGACATCTGCCAAATTCATGGCAATGACATTTAATTTATGTCTACTGTACGTACCTAAAATATATAGAATAATTCTTGCTAGCAGTATATTTCTATTAAGATTCCTGGTGTCAAGCAAGTTATTTCTAGCCAGTTTTGAGAAGACCAGAGTAGCAGATTGCCAACCTCTTCAGCCAGGCCTTATAATCTTTCATATGATCAAGCTTATGATTGCTATCAAAATCCATTTTTTTCTTTCTTTCTGTGTATATATTTAGGATGCAAATGAAGACCCTGGAGAAGATGTTGCTCTTCTTTCAGTCAGTTTTGAGGATACAGAAGCTACTCAGGTTTTTCCCAAATTGTTCCTCTCTCCTCGAATTGAACAGTGAGTGCTATATCTCATATATACTAATCTTGGTTTCACAATATATTATTATATTTCTCATTGTTATATAAAACGTTTGGATAGTCTAAAACCTCTCTGACTTTTAATGGAAAAAAGTCAATGTGATTATTTTTGTAAGTGACAATGCCAGTCAAGCCATGCAGCTTCCCATTTTAAAGTCTTTTAAAGCTGAACCGTCAGCTATAATCAGCCTGTATTTTCCTTAAATGATATTCATTGAATGTTCCTCTTCATTCCACTGATTCAAAGAAATTTAGCTCCACGTTGGGCTTCAAGTGTTCATAGATTAATCTCTGGGTCTTTCAAAATGGAAAAATATATAACACTGACCTATTCTATCTTTTTGTCTAGATCAGGGGAGTCAAACTAGATTTCATTGAGGGCCGCATCAGGGATGTGTTTGACCTCACGGGGCTGGAGTGGTTGTGGCCAGAGTGGGCATGGCCTGCATGGCATCACTCATGTTGGGGGTGTCTGTGGTGGTCCGAGTACTCTGCCAGTGAAAATGGGCTTCTGGGCCCCGTTTTCAGCTGCAATGACCTCCTACAGCCTTCTGCCAGCGAAAACGGAGCTCAGGTGGGTCATGGCCTAAAATGGAGCCTGGGACAGCTGCACGTGGCCCTCCCAAGCTCCGTTTTTGCTGGCAGAGGCACCATGGGCGGGAACTTCACTGTTTCCAGGGTGGCCCTCCAGGCCAGATCTAACCATCCTGCAGGCTGGATCCTTGAATTTAATACCCTGGTCTAGATGGTCATTGGACATAATCTAAACAGTCATCCTAATGACTAAGTAAATGAAGCAGTCGTGGGCTACTACATTGTAAGTAAGCGACTCCTCAATATCTATGAATTACAGAGATGACATACATGGTACATCTTATTCCCCCATCCAGGCAATGTCTACATTAGACTTCGGAATTGCTTTCTATATGCAGTAGAAATATAATGTGTTTTGTTGTTGAAACTTGACTTTCCCTTATAGCTAGTGAGATTTGTTACTTGGAAATGAAAGAAAATTTGCACAAGTCTTTGGTTATTGATTGTATCTTATAAATGCAACCACTTCTTCTTATTGATCTCTTCATTAATTTCCATAAAATCATGGAATTAAAAAATAATAATTCTGTATTGATATGCTGTGTGATTTATATTTCCTGGCTGGAGCCCAGTGTGAGGATTGGGATTTGTCTCCATTCATGCACAGTGATAATAGTAAACATCGTAAACATACTTTTATGTTCAGGCAAGATAGACGGCAAATAAATAAATAAAATAAATAAATTAGGTCTGATGAAAAAATATGCCAAATACTCAATTATTTCCTCATTTTTTGTTTTCTGTATTTTTGCCATTGCATCAAGTACTTGCATGACCAGGTGACATTATCTGTATGTGATATAAATGAATGTGCTGGGGTAGAATAGCTTCCTTTCTAGTGGCAGTGTTGTTTGATGCTCTCTGTGGAAGAATGACTCACTAAGATATAAGTTAGGCCAGGGATACCAAACTCGATTTCATTGAATGCTGCATTAGGTTTGTATTCGACCTCCAGGTGCCGGGTGGGCATGGCCCCATTTTCGGTCGGGATGTCCTCCTGCAGCCCTCTGCCAGTGAAAATCCCTTCCAACTCTGTTACTCTGTTAAAATGGAGCTCAGGGGTGCCTTACATGGCCCCCTGAGCTCTGTTTTCGCTGGCAGAGGCACCATGGGCCAATCCTTTGCTGTTTCCAGGGCGGCCCTGTGGGTCAGATCTAAGTACCCCAGTGGCCGGATCCACCCCACGGCCATGAATTTGACACCCCTTGGTTAGGCTTTGATGTCCAAAATAACTTTGTCCCTTAAAAGTAAGTCTGATGCAGAATGAAACTAGAATCCATTCCAGACTACAGTTTAAGACATGGATTTGTATTATATCCAATATTTTGGGTTTTTATGTGTAAAGTTAGTATTTTAATTTTACAGAATATTTAGAACAGGTCTTTTAGTAATATGCATTGAATTCAACATGGTCTACAGTTTTATCAACTGATGCATGCTGTGTTGACCAGAATTCTCACTATTCATTTTGAATTTAAAGTTTCACTATGAGTTTTAAGTTTGCTAAAACATATAAAACATTTAGTTATTTATAAATAACGAATGTTTTGTTGGAAAATTATATCTTCCCTGACATCTCTAAATCCCTAATTTATCCTTTGTGTTTTATTTTTTTCTTCTATTTTATTTTCTTTTTAAGTTGCTTACTATATCTTCTTGAATGTTTAATGAAAATAAATATTAATGTACTAACTTAAATGTTAAATAGCATTTTTTAAAAAATTGTTTTATTGAAATAAAAATACTCTTTTTCAGATTTTGTAGTATCTGTACATTTGCTGAGCTGTAGTCAGGAAACTGCAATTTAGCAAACCTATTAATCTTTGTTATAAGACTAGAAGAGTTCTTATTTTGCGCTAATAGGATATTTGTCTAAGTATGTCACAGTATTTATTTTAGTTATGGTACAATTAAAATACAGTTAATAAATTTAGTCTGCTCTTAAAATGGTAGTGCTAGGAGGAAAAATAGTTCGACTTCCTTTTTCCCATTTTTGGAACTCATCTTTGTTCGCTTTCCAATCTCCCCTTTTCTGCCTCACTCTTGAACTCTGATTTAAAATTCCAGGCTTACATGTACTTTATCTTAGAGATAAACATTAATGGAAAGGACTTCCCCAAAAAGAGTTACAAGTTGTGAACCTGGAAGAAACACTTGCAGGTCTCTGAACTTTCTTGTACTGTATCCTTAAATGGGTAAGATATTAAGGTGGGGATTTGCTTGCTCAATTATCTCGTCAAAAAGTGCAGAATAATGGAAAATGATAGAACTTGCCTCAGGAATTTGATAATAAACAAGTCTAAGTAACTTTCCTTAAATTAAATATTTAATGTGTATATAATAGGCTTCACCCTCTCCTCACCCAGAAGAAATCACACAATGGGTGATTTGGGTTTAAATCCATACTTTGCCATGGAAACTCATTGGTGGCTTCAAATTCTCTCTGTTCAGCCCATCTCACAGGGCAATTATGGGGATAAAAGAAGGGAAATATCTGTTAATTCTACCCTGAGCTTCTAGAAAAAAAGACAGAATATAAATCTAATGCACAGGAATTATCAAGGTTTAAAGTCAGAGGACAGTATTTACTGCGACACTCACTTTTTGGACAAATCTTTTCTTGTTTTTCAGAACATAGCGTGCACAATATAAGATATTGATTAGTGACCTAATTTTATTTATTTATTAAATTCAGATAGCTGCTCATCTTACATGTGTGATTCTGGAAGTATAGAAAAGTAAAACAAAAAAAACAATAGAGCAAAATAAAACATAACAGAAAAATCATTAAAAACCATTTAAAAAAAACATCTGCGGGATAGCACACTCAATTTTCCTAGAAAAATAGTCCCTTGGCAGGCGCCATACACCATAGTTTCTAAAACCATATTATTTAGAATGGATATCTATTTCCTATTATCCGAGGTAATGCCATTTGTAGTCTATACACCAAGCTTTTTGAAAGGTAGTTTGGAAAATTACCGGTCTAAATAGAGGTGCAAATTGACAAACATCTTTGTCAGTTTAATCTTCAAAACAGATATATTATTTTTAAAATTATTAATTTTGTCCTTTGATACTTCTTACAATATTCAGCTTTATGATAAATTTACCGTTGTAAAAAAACCCCCACCTTTCACAGTTGAATTGACATCTGCTTGAAGTTATCATTTGTGATAATTTCATATTCCAGCAAAAACATCTACTTTCTTGTAATTTTGAGAGAACCATTAAAGTCCTGTAGATACCTAGAGGGTTTATTTAAGTGACCATAGGGCATGGCATGTTTGTTAAAAGCTATGGCTTTCAAAGACGTTTGTAGGAACTGTGGAATTCAGTTGTTAACTATTTATTATAGCCATGTCTACAAGAAATAGTTGCACTTAATCTGTCTTAAAGTGGTAGCAAAAAAAAAAAAAAGCCCATTACGTAATGGTGGAGGAGAAAATGTAGTCAATATCTCATTCACAATAATGTGAATACCTCATTTTCATAATAATGGAAAACTGATAACATTATTTTAAAACATCAACTTTTTTCATTTAGTAACAGCTTATAAATATACTTGGAATAGTTTCCCTTGCCCGTATTCAAGGTTTGCAGATGTATAAGATTGATTGAAATCTACATACTTACCAATAAAGTTGACAGTGGAAAAGAGAATAAAGACCGCATTCATATTTGAGTATAAAATATTGTGTTTTTCTGCAGACAGTTTTATAAAGGTTAGTTTTTAGAAGATGACAAGTGTCTGGCAACTACTGAATTTTTTTTTTAAAAGGTGAAAAGAAAATGCTATCGAGATTACTTGCAATCTTGCAATTTTTTTGTTCCATCTATTTTACAGAATCAGTTACACATGTTTTAAAAATCAGCATTACTATATCTGTATCAGTGAAATAACCACAAGAAGGTAGTATGCAGCTAAATTTAAAATATGAATTGAACAGCAAGTCATTCAGTAGTAGTGCTGGGAATTGTTAAGCATATAATATTACAGTTACTATCAATAGCAGTTGTATATTTAAATGCAGTTTTAAATACTTGTTCTTTGATTCATTCTACTTAAGTGTTTTCAGATTCAGACTACAAATTGAGTACACAATTGGGAGCAAATTAAGTTCTTGACTGAGAAAGGAACTTAGTTACAAAAATATAAATCCATAGGGAACTCTTTTCAGTAAGCTATTTTTTTTTTCCAGGATATTATATCAGCTTTTAGTATTCTCCAGTAAATGGAGATGTTGTTGAGATTTATTTAGTAGACCCATAAATAAATAGAAGGAACTATAAAGGAAGCAGAAGAGAAGATAAGTGAAAGAAATATTTAGATAATATTATTACCTCAAAGTTTATCACAATTGTGATTTAAATATTTTTGTG